CACACGTGAACAAGGATCAAGAATGACATGTTGTTCCTCTGCTAGTTGCCTCGTGGTCCTGTTACGCAACCAACTACCTCGAGAACGACTGGTGCTGGCGGATTCCGTACATCATCCAGCTGACGTTCCCCACCGTCGTCTTTTCGCTCGTCTGGTTCCTCCTCCCCGAAAGTCCACGCTGGCTCTGGAGCGTCGGCCAGACCGAGAGGGCCAAGGGCATCTTGATCCAGTACCACGGGAACATGAACCCCGACTCGGCCCTCGTCAAGCTCGAGGTCGAAGAGATGCAAGACGCGCTCGAGCATGAGCAGGAAATCGCTAACAAGAACTGGAACTACAAGGTGCTCGTCAACACGAGGGCGAACCGCCACCGCATGTGGCTGCTCATGCTCGTCGCCGTCTTTGCCAACTTTATCGGCGGCTCCGTCATTTCGTACTATCTCCCCGTCATGGTCGAGGGCATCGGCATCACCGACTCGCGACGCCAGCTCCTGCTGAACGGCATCAACACGATCCTCTCGTTCATCGCCGGTCTCTTTGGCTCCTTCTGCGTCGACAAGTTCGGCCGCCGGCCCCTGTTCCTCTGGGGCACCTTCCTGACGGGCCTCGTCTACATTCCGATCAACGTGCTGGCGGCCCGGGCCGAGGGCTACGAGGAGGGCCAGATCCCGAGGGCGCAGTCGTACGCCTTCATCGCCATGGTCTTCACCTACGGCATCTTCTGGGGCTTCTGCTGGACGCCCCTGCAGGCGCTCTACCCGGCCGAGATCCTGAACAACGAGATCCGCGCCAAGGGCATGGGCGTCAAGGGCTTCCTCACCGGCGTCTCGAGCTTCATCAACACCTTTGGCACCTCGGTCTCGCTCAAGGAGATTGGCTGGAAGACGTACACCATCTTCCTGGTCCTGCACTTCATCCACAACGGCCTCATGTGGCTGTCGTGTGTCGAGACCAAGGGCCGCACGCTCGAGGAGCTCGACGAGATCTTCAACGATCCCCACCCCGTCAAGCGCAGCAAGCAGAAGACGGCCATCATCGCCAACCAGGGCGTGGGCATCCAGATCAAGGACGATGCGTAGGCGCATGCCAGGAGCGAGCACTCTGACCATCTGCATGGATGCTTGTCGTCTCGACAGATAGTATAAGAATGAATGAAGAAAATAATAAATGCCTGAATTATGACCGGTTGAATGGTGTCAGCCGCCTTGTTGCTCCGAACTGACGTAGGGTCATGCAATCGTTTCAACAGTGTCGAAAATGGTGTCGGCCGTGCCTTGGGTTCCGCAAGCACGATGCACGTTGTACAATCTGCTGAGGCTAACAGTAGGAAGACACGCAAACAGACGAAGTCTTTTCATCGTTCCACAATGCAACAAATACAGGACAGACAACGCCCACCCGCATTCAATACGTAGCCGTCAGCCTCTGCACCAGATACTCCCCGCTGTTGATGCCCTCATACTTCTTCTCCGCCTCGGACGCGTACGTCCCCGGCAGCGCCTCGATGTAGTCCTTGTAATTCGGGTTGCAAAAGTACCTGTCCTCGTCAGCATGCCGAACACGGCCTCTCGGGGCATGGGGACGCACGCAATGCTGTACCGCGGCGGGTACACGTCCCCGTCGGCGCCGCCGCCGGGCGGCTCGACGACGCGGTGGACGGTGCTGCGGATGGTGTCGTTGCTCCAGCGCGCCAGCAGGTCGCCGGCGTTGACGACGACGGTGCCGGGGATGGGCGTCGCGTCGACGAAGCGGCCGCCGGGCCCGCGCACCTGCAGGCCGCCGCGCGCGTCCTGGAACAGCAGCGTGATGGAGCCGTAGTCGCTGTGCTCGCCGGCGCGCACCTGGCCCGGGGCACGCGGAAACACGGCCGGGTCGAAGTGCAGCAGCCGCAGCGTGTTGTCGCGTCGTCGTGAGCCGTCGAGAGCCGTCGGCGAGCCCATGCGCGCGATGCGCGCATCACGTCACGTGCAG